TTCACTATTCTTGGTACCGTATTAATTAAATTAAATCATTTATTAACACAACTCAAAAAGACACATTATTTATATTTAAATTAAACGGATATATTCTCGCATTTTGAGAAATTAATTGGTGGTATCTTATTGATCAACATATTTGAGTTAGAAGAAGAACCGGTTTCTGGTATGACATGGCAGATATTAGAACTACAACTATCCCCTTAATTAATCCGATTAGCAAGATTAATTTTATTGGCGATAGAGTTTTCAATATAACTTTCCGCAACATTTGTATATTTCCATCCACCGTGCCGCTTTATAGTGGTAATATCAGCACCAGCGCCTTCTGATAGGGTAGTGGACGATGGTCGCAGGCAGTGTCCCGTATATAGTTGGGGGTTTGGTAACTTAAGAAACTTGCAATCGTTGGTGGTACTTTGCCAAGCGTATTCTAGCCAACAGGCTGAGTCGTACATTTTCCATTCTTGTAAAAATGAAAAATTGTTGATGTTGTATTGTTTCAGGTCTTCCCTCTTAGTGCTGCGTACTTGCGAATTAAATGAAGAAAATCTGTACCATCTATGTTTCCTGTTATTACGAAGATTCTAGATGTCTTGTTTTTGGTAAATGGTAACGTAATTATAAAGGAAGATCCCATATCGTTAACGTTATGCGTGGTGAGATTAACTAATTCGTCAGTGCGACATGCACCACTTATTCCGAACTATACTTGCCACAAAATGCCCCGAACGAACCAAACATTTTGCGGGGAAAATGTGTGCTCTTTGTAGAATTTGCGGTATTTTCTGCGTTCCCATAAAAAATCGGAAAATGTTTGGCGCATTCTATTCTGTTTGTGTCAACGTACTAGTCAGGAATCTGGGTATCAAAAAGCCGCTTCTAAAATAACTAAAATAAAATAAATAGTCACCTGCACTCGAAGATATACATTTTACACAAATTTTATCGCATTTCCCAAGTTTTTTATAAATATTTTTCAAGAATTTGTGTACTATTCTGTCTAAACACTCTGTATACTGTTAAAGCTGTATATGTGCGAGAAGTGTAGATAGATAATAAAAATTTCAGTCGCGAGGTATTTTCGTTATTGTTGGAGATAGAGGTATACATATATGAGACTAAATATGGAGAATGAAACAATAGTTTTTTTACTAAAACATTTTTTCAATCAGACAAACATTTATAAAAATGTAACGGGAGCGCGCCAGAATAACAATACTGCCGATACTTAAACACGCGCGCTGTCGCATACATCCGTCTATGAGCTACGTCTACACAAATCTCAATCATGTCGCTCTGTCTGTCGGTCAACATCGACCGTTACCCGCCTTTATTAACACGCACGCTTTGGCTTTGGCATACGCCAACGCCCGTCTCATAGTGCAGCGGAGAGACCCGCGAAATCGTTCAAAAAATTTTTTCGGAGTAAGGGCATCGACAAACTCAGACCAATGAAGAGGAATGCGCAAATGTGTACACGCATCAGAAAATACAAAAGCAGGAAACAAGGGGGATACAGAAATATATACCAACAACAGCGCGGGCGATACTGGAACTACCCAAATTCCTAATCAACAGAACCCTAAACGCGTGGCCAAGGGAGTATCCTAGTATACAATGGTTTTGGAAAAAAAACCGAACACCAAAAGAAAACCAGGGGAATCAAACAAGGATGTCCGCTTCCCCAAGGATCTTCGGGATAGCACTTGACCACGCTATAGAACAAACGAGGATGGTGGTGAGGAACCTTAGCACAGGCGGCCAATTACTACTACCGACATTACTGGCGTACGCGGACGATCTACTCGTAATCGCGGATAATTTAGAAGACACTATGAGGACTTCGTCCAGGCCAGCGAGGTAGCAGGTACACCTGGAAATAGTGGACCTAGGTACAAATACACAACGAAAATAGCTACATGATGACAATAAGAGTGCCAGGAAGCACACGGTAATGTTATAGAAAATAAAATAATCACAATGCTTTGGAGCATCGAATGAGCTATGAATATTGGAAATCGATATCGTGAAATCAAAAGTTATGATAGTTCAAAGTGCGCACTTTTCATCTGCGACACGAATTTTGGAAGTTGACGGTCATTTTACTAAAAACTGTGCATAACAAGGTAGGTAAATATGAATGCTTTCGATTCTGCTATAAAAATGTACTTTCATTTTACAAAACGAATTATTGATGTATATCGCTTAGTTGCTGAGAAAATAAATACTTTCGGTGGTCTAGTCGCGCGCGCGAAAATGAGTAAAGTTCAACTTTAGCGGCTTATAACTTTTGTCAGGACCACGGGAAAATGTCGTAAAGAGAGATTCTGAAGGTTCAAACATTTCTGAACAAAATGGCGTGGGTCTCAAATCCCAATTCTTTCTACTCCGAAAAAAACTACCTCAAATAAGCGAGTTAGCGCCGGCTCTCCGCTGCACTATCAGTTACACTCCCGCACTCATGGTCTGTTGTAGCAAAGAGTACGACGTTACGTAGGTACTCTTTAACTGTAGTTAGGTAGTTATTCTCTTCTATTTGTTCTAACATGTAAGTAAAAAATGTAGTCATATAAATAAACGAGTAGGTAACTTCAGCGCATTTTCCATAAATTGATCAATACTTCCCCAAAGGCCATACTTATGTGCGCTATGTTTTTCATTACTAGAGGCATATATGGTTAAAATTTTAAAGAAATATCTTCATAACTAAGGAAGTTGACACTTACTGCGCAGTTAATATTGCGCGTCCTGCGCATGCGCTTATTAATCTTATATTTACAATATGCAATACGTTTGCTTTTACTATAAGCATCTTTGGTTAAAATTTCAAAGAAATAACCTTGATTTACCATACTCATATGTAAATAACTATTACATTATTTGTATGTTAAATCAGTTAACGTTACTCGTTAACGTAAACCTTGATTTACCATTCTCATGGGTAATGGTTATTTACATAATAAGTCATGAAAGTGGTCGTTTACATGACGAGGAGGCTTATTGAAAAGTACGAGGACGCGCAGCGTCCGAGTATCTCTTTATCCATGTCAGGTGGATTCACTTTCATTATGTATAAAATTTTACCTGAAACCGCAACATGTAGATAACTTTTACAAATTAAATTATTCATGTGTGAAATTTTGATACCTAATCACTTCCATAGAGATTTCAAAATAATTAAAACAATCAGTGTCATTTTTAATGCAGTAAGCAGTTTGCAGTATATGCTTTTACTTTTCAACTATACAGTGTTATAAGTTATACCTAACTAGGTACAAAAGCAAGTATCTGTGAAGAAGAGTACCTACACGAGACGTTGTTATAATGTAGCCGAAGCTGCGGCCGCAGTAGTGCAATATTCGCTGCCCACAAAGTCAAGTCAAGAAAGAGGTACAAACCTTTTAATGCCTGGTGCAACACTAAAGAAATAATTACTTCCACACATATTCCATTAATTGTTAGTAATTAAAAAACCATTATCCATTGTGTAGGTATATTCATATTTTAAAATATCCACATAGTCTGCATTATAATTATCCAATCGTTGATTGAATAACTTATTCAATGAACGATCTAATTGTTATTTTGCATGGACTATAGGACTGTAATGGGAGTCAGGCATAGTTATTTATGTATTAAGGGCATAATAGTGATGTTTATATTCTCGAGGGCGACGAGTTAAAAAGCTCGAGGGCCTATGGCCCGAGAGCTTTTTAGTCGCCCGAGAGTATAAACATACATCAGTTTATGCCCGTGGTACATACATAATGTTATGTCTTACTAACATATCATAGCACATTTTATATCTGTGATACGCGGGCATAAAGTACCACTTTATGCCCTAGGGCATTAAGTATCACCATAGTAACTCATTTATACTTAATGACTGAAAACAAACAAATATTTGCAGGTCATCGAAAATTAGAAACGTCAATTATTAATTGTCAATACCTACTAAATCACAAGATTGGCCTTATTTCGCATAGTTTCTTGCTCATTCACGATGAATTGAATTATTTAAAATTACGTTTGACGTTTGGATGGTTTCAATCACATTATCAAATTCGAACCACGCATACTCGATCAAACATAATGAATTATTTTGTAAACGAATTTTGACGAAGAAAACTATTTGTAAAACATAAAAAATATTACAGTACTAGACTTTCTAATGTCAAAATAGCCCTGAAATTTAGATTTTCTTGATGGTTTCAGGTTACCTTGGTTTTTACTCATAATTATGCCATGGAAACGTATTTTGGTAGGCACATTAAGATGCATTGAATATGGAAGGAAGCTCATTAGTAGTTTTGAGATTTATCCTAAATCTTTCCGGTGCTCACGTGAAATTGACCGTAATATTGCGTGACCGAATTTTAAATTTTTCAAAAACGGCATGACTGCAGTGGCAACCAATTCTGGTAGGTACATTGGCGGACATTGAATTCTGAAAATGATATACACTAATAATTTTGGGATTTACTCAAAATCTTTCCTGTGCTCACGCTGATTTTTTTGGAATCGGATTTTTCCAAAAACGGCAGGAGTAACAATGCAAACGAATTTTGGTACATTAATGTACATTGTTGTTGAACAATGAACAAAACGGACGCCACTTCCACTGCATGCATACAGCGAAACGAAAAAGAAAAATATGTAAAATACAATTTAGTAGTCATAAACATACTCGTTCTTGTCCTATACCTACCTGATATTTGTGGCCATCGTCATCGTTTTTGTGTGTGGGTAGGTAGATAAAATTCTAAAAATTGTTAGTGCTTAAAAATTTCACAACACTAGATACAGGAGTGTCTTCTCGGAAGATTATTTCTATTCTACCGACATTTCACTACCTGCTCCATACTGTTAAGCCGTAAGTCACGGGCATCAGATTGTCTTTTATGTAGGTACCTATATACCTACTACACTGTTGATCAAGTTTACCTCCCACCAAATCGTACTTACTCATTGTTATGTTATTTGATTCCCGTCGCTTAATCGCATAGAACAAACGACTTTCATGTATTAAAGGTCGGCGGTTTGTGACATGTGAACACATTAATCAATCATGGTCGTTGCGAACTTCTCTGTGAGAGTAGAAATTCCGGAAATTATTTGTACTATAATAATTAAAACGTTTTCTCAGTTTTATTAAAAGATATTCGTCGTTATTTAAGCTGATAACTAACAGTATAATGGGATTTTTGCCCACAACTTTTTAGTTGCTTATCAAATAGCATTGGAAAATGTTGATAATTAGTGTTTCGGCGTATAATACAGTGAATTGGTTTTATACAAACGTACATACGTAGAGAATGATATCTCTGTCCATCTTTTTGACTATTTTGTGTGCCGCATTAGGTGATACTACACAGGCTAGTAAGTGGTTATCTGCAATCATCTTCATTTACCTATGTTAATGTAAGTATTTTTATTAAGGATTTGCCACACCGTGTACTACTCCAAATAACGATAATGGGTATTGTGTAGAAATTCAACATTGCAGTCTTTTTCATTTTTCTGATCTCTTTAATCCATATTGTGTTAATCACGATTTCGTAATTGCATCTAAATGTGGACCTCCGAATGAACGAGACAGATCTCCAAAGGTTTGCTGCGGTGAATATTCGAATTTTTTAAATAGTAAGTAAGTACTTACCATGTTTTTAAATCCAATCTATAGTTCAAAGTTTAAAATGTGACTTTTGGCACGTAACGCAGTACCTATAACCGCACAATTTTAAACAGAACCACGTTACGTTCTCAGATTAATTGTTAATCTGAGGTTACGTTAGCTACCTACTATGCAAGACTAACAACAATATAAACAACTAAAACATTATCATTAAAGTTATATTAGCTTGTAATTTTGCTTCTGGCAGGTGGGTTTTTCGTTTGAACAGTATGTACGGTTCTCTCTAGCAGTGCTTCGGCAAATATACCATTAATGCTACCACATAAAAAATGTTTAGTTTTACTCGTTTTATTACTATTTTCTGTAATCTTATCAGGTGAGTTTACTATTCTATTTGGCCCAATAAATGCCCGTGTCCCTTCATAAAAACCCATAATTTATTCCAGTGGCGGAACTACCGGTGTTCAATGTGTGCGAAGTACACGGGCCCGAGCTAAAATGGGGCCCGGGACCCGGGATTGTCATACTCGGAAATAATATACTGTAAATGGAACCTTTTGCAGCATATACCTCTAGCACGGCGTGAGACCAACTGCAGACTGCGAATGAGTAATTTTTTTAATTGTACTGAAAATGAAATGTCAATGAACATGTACTAAATTTAATTTTTTTGTACTAAAATACGCAGCATAACTTCAAGGGTACAAAAAAATTAGCTATAAATTGTCATGAGTCATAAGATAACACTATAACCGAACGAATGACTTTCTGAATAGTAAAAGTTCACTGAGAAAGTAAGATTCAATTTTCTAAATCGTGGGGAAATGATAAACGTAAATGCTTAATTCGCGCTCTGACTGGTTGCTACATATTTTTCCTCGTATTTTTCTATGTTCAGGTTCAGGAACATAAATACTTATCAATTGTTTTTTTTTGTAGCCAAAATTCATACCTAAATTAATATTGTTATCAATACTTCGTATCATAATGGGGGCCCAGCAAAAATTTCGCACACAGGCCCGTGGCTACGTTGTTCCGCCACTGATTTATTCGTGTCTAGCGTTACAAATTTTCCACAGACTATGCCTATTAGCACACGACTGACACGACCTATTAAAGTAGTAAAATTATTACATGAAAAATTTTGCACATAGTTTCTATACTAAATTACCTTTAAAAAAACGCCAGCGCACAAGTTGGCCCGTCACCCAGACAAAATTATACAGGGTGTCCAAGATGGGGTATTTCCAATTCAATGATTTGCCATTTCTGTAAGCTTGATATTTTCAAATGCATTAAATTTTTTGTATTTTGACATAAGTTTGGTATTCTTATTCATATTCATGATTATTAATATTCATTTCGGAAGATATATTTACTTGAGTAAATGGTGTTACGAATCACTTTAATTGACAAATTAACACAAATATTTTTCATATGAAATTTGATGAAATGCGATTTAGTAATAAATATGAACATTGAATAAGTTTCAATAATGTAATATTAATACGAATCTTCTCTTCTTCTGGTTATATATGGTGATCACAAATATTGAGCAAAACAGGAAACTATATAAAGCTTGGTAATAACATAGAAAGAGAGTACATCCCTTTAGATATTTCTGTGTCTTTGGGTATTAACGACCATACGTTACAGAACATTTTTAAATTAATACAGTGTGTGCCAAAATAAACCTTGAAACTTGAAACTTGAAACTTTGACATATGCCTGCCGTCGCCGCCTCTCCCAGGATTTAGTCAACTGTCGTGAGGATGCGTCCCTGGTAGACACTATCAGGGACGTTTCTCCACTACTTTGTTGCCATCGCGCTGGGCCGCGACATATGCCAAACAATGTGGTGGATTTTGTGGATTGGGGGGGTTGTGGGGGGGCGGCTAACTGGGTGTTATCCGACCCGAACGGGTACGGCCACAGCTTCGCCACTGGTATTCTGCCTTAGAGGGAACTCTGCTTTCTAGTGATAGCTTCTTCTCCGGGCGTTCATTGGCTTCCGATGTTCCTATCCTTTGGTCTCGTTCCCTTCCCTGTTTTCCCTCGTGTTAGGCTCTTTTTATTGTTGTCCTCTCCCCGCATTACTTTCTGTCCCCTTTTCCTCCTCCCCTTGGCTACTTGTCCTTGTGGCTGATTATTCCTCCACCTCCAGTATTCTTCTGCTTTCTTTCTTCCTTTGATGTTTGTCTCTGCTATTCTCTCCCATCTTCTCATGGTAATCCCCGAGACCTCTACCGTTTGGTTTATGGTGGTGTTCCATGTTTGGCAGGGTCGGCCTACCTTCCGTTCCGAGGCACATAGAATCTTGGCAGCCCGAATGATATGGTCTTTGTTCCTCCTGTTGGTATGTCCCCAGTATCTCATCTGCCTCATCTTCAGTCTCCTGACAATCGTCTTTCCCTCTAATAGTTCTCTTCTCTGATTTCCTGTGAGGTTGCTGTTTTCCTCAGTATCCTGAGTGCCTTCCACTCTGCCCTCCTCAATGTTCGTCTGTTGCTCTTTGTTGGCGCTGAAGTGTTAATTCCGTATAAGATTGTCGGTGCTACGATCGTGTTGTAAATCATCATTTCAAGCTGTCCGGTATTTTCTTCGCTCGTATGAAGTTCCAGATTCCGTGTGCGATTCTGAATGCGTTGGTTATTCTGTCTTTCACTGCGTTGTGCCTGCTGAGGGTGCTGCTTATGTACTTACGTTCCCATATATTTGATCTTGTGCTTCACGGTTATCTCCTTCCCGGCTATGGTCTTCTCTCCTTTGTACTGGGGGTGTTGTTTGCTGGCACTCTTGTCATCATGTAGCTCTTTTCGTTGTATATTTGTAGGTCCACCATTTCCTGGTGTACCTGGTATCCCGATGGCCTGGACGAAGTCCTCAGTGTCTTAAAAATTATCCGCGATTACGAGTAGATCGTCCGCGTACGCCAGTAATGTCGGTAGTTGTAATTGGTCGCCTATGCTAAGGTTCCTCACCACCATCCTTGTTTGTTCTATAGCATGGTCTAGTGCTATCGCGAAGAGCCTTGGGGAAACGGACATCCTTGTTTGATCCCCCTGGTTTTCTTTTGGTGTTCGGTTTTCTTCCAAAACCATTGTATACTAGTATACTCCCTTTGCCACGCGTGTATGGTTCTGTTGATTAGGAATTTGGGTAGTCCCAGCATCGCCCATGCTGTCATTGGTATATATTTTCTGTTTCTCCCTTGTTTCCTCCTTTTATATTTTCCGATGTGCCTATACCATTACATTTCCGTATTCCTCTCCATTGGTCTGAGTTTGGTGATGTTCTCCGCGAACTCGTCGAATTCCTTGATTTCGTGTTGCTCATAGGCTCTATTTTCTTCTTCCTTGGCTTCCCTTAGCTTCTTCTTTGTTTCAGGTTAGTGTGGGCTTTGGCCCGCTTTCTGTTCGGTCACATGGGCGGTTTCTGTTTCCCTAGTGTTTCCCTTGTTGCTTCTTTGATCGTTTCGCCGATCTTTTTCCATATGGTATCCCATCCCCTTTTTGCTTCTGATCTTTTACCACTGCTTTCGGTACTCCTTTCTTTTCTTCTCCCCTGACAGAAGTTTCACATTCCGCCCTTCGGTTTCCCCGTTGTGCTCCTTGTCCTTTCCTTCCTGTTCTCTTCTTCCCCTCCCCCCTCTTTACTTTCCCCTTTACCATTTTGTGGTCCGATCCTACTGTTTTTTTCCCATATGCCTGCTGTGTTCGTGACGCTTATTTCCTTTGATTACATGTTACCATTTTGGACTTGCCGAATATGTTTTCTACCCTCAGTCCATGTAGGTGTACCATGTTCGTAAAGGTCGTTGCCGTTCCCTTCCTCCTATTCACTTCCGTCCAGTCTGCCTAGTTGTGCATTGAAGTCGCCTAGTATGATACCTCGGTTCTTTTCGCACTTTTTGTTGTTGTTTCACTTCGATTTCTGAGTTCCGCCTGCCCTCTTTTGTCCGAGGAGATGTGGCATCCTATGATTGTTAGTCTTCTTATTTTAATCTTGATTTGGGCCATGGATATACTCTTGCTTTTCCTTCAAATTTCTCCACCTCAATGCATCGGTGCTTCTTGATTACGATTTCCGCAACCCTGCTGGTTCTCTCCTTCTTCCCTCCACGTATCCGTCTACGTCTCCTATCAATTGTGGGTAGAAATCTTCCAGGTTTTCCCTGATGTATGCGTTGATTTCTTTTTTAATCATTTGGTTAATTTCCTGTGAGGCTCTGATGTCACTGGCAGTCGCCTCAGTTGGTGCGCAATCGCTCCAAACAGGCAGTCCCCATCCTTATTTATACTGATGCATTCTAGGATGTATTCTTTTGATCGTACTTCTATTTGATCGCTGTTACGAGTACTTGTCTTTAAGGTCTTAATCCTGGTTTGGGTGGTGGGTGCTGTTTATTGATCGCTAAAAGAGATACCTAGGAGAGATAATTTAGTTAAGTTAATTGTTAAGTCACCGAGACGTGCCCCTTCAGTCTATCTTTGACCGCCCCGTATATTCTATTGTGTCTGGGAGACTCTAAACTAAAGGTACTAACGAAAGTAAAAAGCGCAAAAAAAAACAGGGAAAAAAAAGCCGCTGTAATTTGGTAAGAAAGGTTTCCTTTTTTTGTCAATCATGCCTATTAGACCGAAATTTGAGAGCTTAAATATTGTAATTTATGGCTTAGTTTCTTTATATGTCTCCGGTTGACAAGTTTATATTTCCTTTCCCAAGGGTCAATTTGTTCCACCCCGATTCGAAGTAGGTATATTCAATGTAGCTCCCAGTGACTTGCGCCTCTCTATTCTATCTTTTCCCATTTGTTCACTTTTAAATTAAATTTAGCCTTAATTCTAAGTAAGTAAGTGAGTAAGTAAGCAAGTAAGCACTTATCTTAGCTTTACGCTCTTTTTTGTCCTGTTGAGTGGAGGTTCCTGCCCTGTCTTCTCACGATTTAATTAGTCTCGCGCGTTATGAATCTTGAAATTAAACTTAAAACTGTAAAAATTCGTAAAATCTCAACCACTGGACCGATTTCGATGAAACAAGCACTAAACAATTGTAAATTTTGTACGCTACCGACATACATTTTTAAACCTATACAAACACAAAAAACCACTAAAAAAGGCCGGAGCTCGCTCAAAACACGTCCGCTCGCCATGAAAGACGAACTTCTCTCCTCAATACAGTGTGTGCCAAAATAAACCTTGTTAAACAAAAAATTATTTCGACGGTAAATTGAAACACAACAACAACTCACTAACTTTAGAGTACGAAATAAAAATACAGATAGGTACAAATGTAAAAATTATGTAAAGCCTGTTTTTCCAAGTAAATGTGAACAATTTATACTCTAAGTCCAAGACAAGGATGTCTATCATGAGGGGATCTCGGAAACCATAGACGATAAAACGATAGTTAAATTAGACAGAAGATGCACAATTAAAGAGATATTATCATGCTTTAAAGAAAACTAGAACATTCCGATTACTTCCGAAGATATCTCGGGAGATATGCCAGAAAAACCGAAATTTGCCCATTTCATGCCGTATACCGTATTTATAATAAAAAATATTACTTAATACAGTATGTACTTTTATTACGGGTCATATAAAAAAATAAAGTTGATGATGATTTCTCCGAAACGAAACGTTGTATTGACTTTTCTCTCAACTGTGTCTTGTAGAGCTCAAAAAATCCCTTTCGGTTCAACCCATCTTAGATGTGCGCACTACATGATTTTTGATAGCCCTCTACGAGCCGAATCGAAGGACACCCCGTGCGCATGTCTCGAATTTCTCGAACTCCAAGTAGATTCCCGCACATCCTAGAGATGCGTAGTGAGTACTGTATGTTCTTCGATAGAAACGGCCCTTAGTAACCCCTCCCGCCCCCCCCCCCTATAAAAAGGAAAAGTTAAAGCAATTTAACATGTAGAAGTGACCGCCATTTTGTTTGGGCGATTACGAACTTGACTGTCGTATTTTTGTGACAGTGTGACACCAACCCATAAAGTTTGGTAGAAGTCGCTTCATACTGCGAATTAGCCGGTTCACAAAAAAACCATAACAATTTTGGAGAAAATCACTTTATAATACAAAAAGTTACAGTCATTCAACTTTGTAACATTTAAAAGTGTCCGCCATTTTGTTCCAATATGGCGGAATTGACTGATTTCCGAACTTAGTCGAGATATTTATAAATTACACCAACCCTTAAAATTTGCTTGAAACCGGTTCATAATTACGAAAGTTAGAGTGTTTCTTGGAAGTGATATAAATATAAACCTATAAACCTGTAGACATGTGGGCCTGTCGAGGGGCCTGTAGACCGCTAGACCTATAGACCTATAAACCTATATACTGGTACCATTACAATAGGTAGGAGAAAAGACTTTTCGTTCATCAGTGGCACGATTCTCAAAAATAAAGGCAAAATAAATACAAAAATAAGTATAAATAAATAATAAGACTTTATCTTTTCTTTGATTTGGCCATTGTATTTTCTATGGCTTCCGAGATCTCTATGATAAACATCCTTATCTTGGACACAGTGTATAACCAGGACAAGAGCATAAGTACTAGTACTAATATTGCATTCTTGAAACTTATTCATACTCATACTAAGATCCTTGGATATCGCCTTGGATTTACATTATTAAATCGCACTGAAGTTTCAAATGAAAAATACTTGTGTTAATTTTTCGATTAAAGTCAACTTAAATATATCGGAATAAATATAAATAAGAAATTTGTCAAAATACAAACAATTTAATAACTTTGGTGGATATATATTATCTATCTTACAAAAATGGCCAATCATTGAATTTAAAATACCCCATCTTGAACACCCTGTATACTCTGTGTCCCGGTGTTTTTTTAACGTAATTTAGGATAGAAGATATGTGCCATATTTCATGTTGGTATCCGAAGAAAAGACGAACTGCAAAACGTTGTATTAGATGTTATTCACTTTCTTATACTTTAGTTGATTTTGTTGTAGGTTTTGATTTCAATAACTACCTCGATAACTACACAGGGTGATTTTTTGCGAGTCTTTGTTTCTGCAAAAACTTATTCGACATTCCTTTTAGCGCATTTTCCAACTTATGTTGGAAGGCGCTATTATGGCCACTTTTTGCGTCCGTCGCCTGAGGTTTTAACAATTCCCACAGTTTTCAATACATTTAGTTCAATCTTTTTGCATTCGGTAGCTTATGGCTCTGGCACCTCAACCAAGAAAAATCTTTCCGATTAATGTGCGCATGTAGAGACTGCGCAATGTCAACTTTCTTATTAACGAGCTCCTAGCGAGTTTATATTTTTGCGGTGTATGTCCGTCTGTCCATCTATCCGTTAGCACGATATCTCTAAAACGAATGGACCGATTACGATGAAATTTTGCGGATGGATTGTTTATCAAATTATTGTAGGCGCAGTTCGTGACTTGGCAATGTAGCACAAAAAATAAGGAAGGCCTTTTTGACATATCCGTTAGTTATGAACCGAATTGCATGAAATTCAATATGGGCAAATGGGCATAGCTTTAGGTATATAAAGTAATGCCAAAAGTTTTTTATTTATGAAGGTATTTAATATTAATATTTCATACATAGGCACTTGGCAAATCTAACGCCAGTTTCCAAATTTGGTTTTGCGCATGCGCAATACCTACTTATTATTTACGAAAGCATTTAAAGGAAATTTTATACATATGCACTTGGAATAAGATCAAATCTAACACCAGGTTCAAAATTTGGTTTTGCACATGCTATGCCATACCCAGGAGCTTATTTGCTATATTTGTTTACGCGTTTATTTATTGAAATATTGTTCGGAAATTATACCACAAATGCTTCTAGTACATAAAAACAAGCATATTGCATACTGTAAAAATCTGGGTAAAAATCAAATGTGCGCATGCGCAATGTCAACTTTCATATGTATATATATATTTTTTAAATTTGAAGCAAAAATTCTTCTACTAAAGGCAAACATAAGTTAAAACGTAAAAATCAGATGTGCGCATGCGCAGATTGTACAATGCCAACTCTCTCATTTATTGTGATATTTCTTTCAAATTTTAACCAAAGGTACTTCTAGTAAAAGTAAACATATCAGCTATTGTATTTGTAATTTGAATCAATTTGATCAATTATTGTGCGCTTTAATATGATTAATCAGTACAAAACATTTTTATATGTCTATTTATTACAAGCCTTGTGAAACAAAAATAATTCAACATTAGGTACTCTCGACATTAGGTACTTATGTTTGAATTTCTATTGATAGAACGCTTACATTAATATTTCATTAATTCATTTATACGGGTTTAGTGCATATTCTACACCATAATGATCCCTTGAACTTTTAGGAATATCTACTACAACGGAGGTACCGCTTACACCACCCCCACCTGCATTTTCACAGATATCACCTTTTCCGGAACAATGCGGAAACCAGTCAATAACACTTCCGTCGAGGATACTGGGTGGAAACGAAGTAAGTTTAACTGAGTTTCCATGGATGGCGAGGTTAAGGCATCGTAGTGCCAGTGGTTTCTATACTTTTGGTTGTGCCGGATTTTTAATTTCGGAGTACTTTGTAATGACCGCTGCACATTGTATTGCATCCAAAACATTGACAACTCTAGGACCTATGTACGTATGCCCTCCGCTATTCATGAGCTGTTACTGCGTTTAAATTTAGAGTAGAAGTCCAACTGGGGGAGCACAACACCGAGACTAATCCAGATTGCGAAAAACGTAACGGCAATCAATGGTGTGCAGACTTTCCTCAATTTATCAAGATTGGTAAACCTAAAATGCATCCGGAATATTCCGATAACAACCAATATCATAACGATATTGCCTTATTACCTTTAAAAGAACCTGCAGAATTTACCGGTATGGCAGTTTATAGCGTAAAGACTAATTTAAACATTTGCTTATTCTAGAGTTTGTTTATCCCATTTGTTTGGCAACCGAACTGTCGCAGGAGAATGAAATGTGGTTGGCCGGATGGGGACGAACCGAAACCGGTAGGTATGCCCGAATATTATTTGAAGTTTATTACCGTGTTTATGAATTGTAGGTCCATCCAGTCCCATAAAACTAAAGGTCCTTGTGCGACGTGCAACCAAAAACTATTGCGTACCGCTATACAGAAATATTGGAAGAAGAATTTTATATTCCCAGATATGTGCAGGTGGTGAACCAGGTGTAGATTCCTGCGCGGGAGATTCAGGTGGTCCACTCATGATCCAAGTAGGCCTTAATACTTGGTACGCTGAAGGAGTCGTCAGTTTTGGTTATGGTTGTGGTATAAAGGACTGGCCAGCTGTTTATACCAGCATCCCTTACCATATTCCATGGATTACTAAAACTATGAAACACTATTTAAAAAGGAAGTTAGAACCCAGACAAGTTACACTTTATTAATTGTAGGTTAGGTAATTAAATAAGTAATATAGCTATCACTTATTTAAGGATTTACCCACCTTTCTATACCTTACGGCTTATGTAGATAGTATTGTTGTTTACGGTTGGCGGTGTATGTACCAAGTCGGTAAAGTGGCTTCATCAAACTCACATCGCCCCCCCCCCCCCCTCTCTCCTTGCTCGCTCGACTCATAATCTCAGACCCGTCTGATAAAGGATCACTTTAGTAACTTGATTGAAAAAGTCTGCGGCATATACATATAGTTATGCATGGCCCATTTTTAAAATCGTATTTGAAATTTAACTATTGCCAAAGAAAGTTACTCTGCTATTGCAGTAAACGAACGATGTTTTAGCGCGTACTTTCTTGTAAGCGGCAGTGGCGACATCTTTCTGACTGACATCACGGTTAGTCGACGGAAAAGATTGTGAAAATGGCAATTAAGCGTTTTTCGTACCTATGCATTTTGGAGGGGTGGGGCTGGATTACTGGACCGCTAACAAATTATGAGCAACCATATTGTAGCCCGATGTGGCAAACTCCAAAATTAGAAATTGTACAGAAGAGACTTGTAATAAATTTCAGTTCTTATTCATCTGAGAAATAAAGCTAATTTCTCATCGGGAGGAATGGATTTCCACATAACCGTATCTTTTTTTCGAAGAAAATTTCCACTCTGCAACGTTCCAAAAACGCATCGTGAGAAAAGGAGCTCTTAGAATCTTACACAATATAAAATACAAATGGAAAGTGGTGCACAGATCGAAAAATCAAAGCATGCGGTGCATCTGGGTCCGCCAGTGACGTCACTACACGCGGCGAAAAAATTCAGTGATCGAGCAATCCTGTATTATATAGCATCCATGGGGTAATCTTATATGGACTAAATGCCTCTCTTACTAATTTGCGTCATTCTTTGATAACGCTATCCTTGTTTCTCGCTGCAATGATGCCAAACTGACATATAATTGAATTGAAGTATTGAAACTGACATAAGGGTACTTAACGCCCGTAACGACCGCGACCGCGGTTTTGTCGTTCCACTAGCTTAGAGGTGTTGTGGGCGAAACCTTAAGTGGAACGCTTTTGAGTACGGTGTGACGTCACGCGTGAGTGAACAGTTTTCCAACATGGATGCCGTTGAGGAAATCATAATGCGTAAAGAAAGAATACAGGGGTGGATTATGAATTCAAAAGTCACATTAATAAGTTAGCAAATATTTTTTTGTTTTTCAGTACCAATTATTGGCGCATACTTCTTCGCTTTACACAAGATATTGCTTCTTGTTAATAAAATATTGAAGACGACTTTTGAATTTCTATCATAAATGCTGCGGCCATACTTAATACGATGATAATGAACACTTCTCCCCAGTTTCTCTTGTGGGAATGCTGCTTCGAAAACAATTTCCCTTCTTCATTCAAAACTAACGTGCATTCTCATTTTCATCAATCGTTGCATTACCATTTATACGAGTCTCATTCGCAATCCCTGGTAAAGCACTTTGCAGCAAACTAGCTGCAAATCTAAGATCTACAATAAAGAAAATTGTGTTAAAGCAGAATTTTCCTTAACAAATAACTTTAACATTCAGGAATCAGCATATATGCTGTGCATGTAGAACATCCATAGTGTAATGTCCACCACAAGGTTACGTTCTGAAACACGTAATTATATTTTTCTACAATCGATATCCAAAGTAGCACGATACACTTGCACACGGTATGCTCATTATTTTTCTCAAACGCGTTTTCTACTGCGCATTACGTCACCTGCGAACATGTGGCGCCAAAATTCAAATGTTTACGCCAGGACCGAACTAGTGGTACACATGTCACGCGTGACAGTTTTGCAACTTATAAGTATCTTGTATCTACGAGGTTTAGCGTTAATTTGTTGATAGCTAATTAATCATTAGTGAAATTTCCAAAATGCCAGGTTCTGTAGTGGCTCAATGGGGCAATTCTAATAGAAAAACAAAAGGAACGGAAATAAAATACTTTCGATTTCGGAAAATTGAAAACTTTTCTCAAAAATGGATTGTTGCAAGTCGTCGTAAGGACAAAATTAACTTGAAAAATGTTGTTACATTAATATTAAGTGGTGTATTTAAGTCTTTCCATTGCTGTTTAATTCTATAGCCTGTATTTGCTCTGAACATGTTGAAGCCAGCCGTTTTGAAGCACCGGTAAGGGAACGATTTCTTAATTAAACCTACTTTTAAAAACAGCGGACATTTGAAAACCTGATGCTTTACCTACTTTAAAACTACCACGTAAAATGAAAATCAAAATATAAGGGAAACGGAAGAGAAATTCGATCTTTTAATAAAGCATTAATTACATAATATTTACTGAAAAAGCCGCACTTCATGTTTAGGGCCAATATTTTTCATTCGAGTTTATTTCATACGATCACCAAATCCCAGAAATACCCGCCGCGACGATCTCTACACAAAATCAGTGTGATTTGTCGATCTAAGAAGCGTAATTTTGCTCTATATTCTGTGGTTTTGTTCGCACGTGACGTCACGCTAGATGCGCAAGAGCATACCGTTGTAAGTGTATCGTGCAAAGTAGGCATTTGCGCTCGTATTTGACAACGCAAACGTCATCTTTTTCGAGGAATGTCACTTTGTCGCTTATAAGCGACAAAATAGAAAAAACGCTCGCTCTCCCAATTATTAACTATAAATCAAATATGCATTGCTCAGAGTATCCAATGACAACGAGTAAATGACATCTTTCATTTGGGCATAAGATTATAATGATTTGAGTGAAAAATTTAAATTTCTGGAAATATGTGAACTGCTCGATTGTAGAAAAAATCTTGTGTGTAATTCGAGCGCAAATTGATTGTCGATTTCAAGAGATTGCCGCGCTCCTTCGTCGCGCGTCAACTGTCTCTTTCAATCGACAATATATCATTTTGCGCTCTTAATACACAAATAGCTATTTCTCCATAGCGAAAACGAAAAAATTGTAAAGGTGGGTTCATAGCTCTCCGTTCATCCGTTGCGTTGATCCGTCAAACGGATAGTACATTTTGTTAAGGTTCATAGCAATCCGTCCACATTGTACATTTGCAACGTATACCTAACCATAACCTAAATTTTATTTTGTACTGTACCCTCCGTGATTTTCAGTATGAAAAAATGATACGAAAATAAGAACACGTTGCTATCTGAATATCACCGTGAAGAACGAATAGGCGAACACTGTTAACGTACCAAACATAACCTCACTCTTGTTAAAAACGGACCAACGGAAACGTAAATGTTCAACTTCAACCAACTTTTCCGTCGTAAACGGACGACGTACAATTTAAAAATTTGCTGTCTTCTGATTGGCTAACGGACAAACGGAAACGTATGAACGGAGAGCTATGAACTTACCTTAACGCATGCGTGTTCAAACAATCAGTGTCTGACAGTTAAATGTCTAGAAATGTCTCCTGTCAAGAATGTAAGGTTATAAAATTAGAACGCCCACGCTTACCCAGGTGCGATAGGCGAGCGCCGTGGGCTCGTTGCGTTCGCTAGTAATGACGTCATATCTGACGTCTCGATTGCGACAATAACGACTGTGGTCGTTATGTGGAACGGCTGCCGGCCGTCGTGGTCGTTGCGCGCTTTAAGTGGAACGTACCCTAATCTCCTTGTGCTGTCATTGTCACGTTTGTTAATAGGTTTGACAAGCATGTACTGTATGTCCACAAGAACCACACTGCATCTGGAGGTGCGAACGCGCTGTTGGGTATTTTGCGGATTTTATTGCTCATACCGACGGCTTGCTCAAGATTGTTAATTTTCATTGCAATTACCTTACGGGAAAGTGGACCTATTCCATTAAACGAAATGTCGAATAATTAGGTACCTATATTATTAACACTGGCTGGCAGCAAATGCGAGCCCGTAGAAGATCGCTTGTAGAAAGACGAGGAGCGTACAGTCTACGGGTCATTAACAACTTTAAGGACAGGGCTGCATGATGTGGGGTCGGCGACATCTGGGCGCCATCAATGTGTGTTATACTAACGTGGTGATTTTTCAGTTTTTTCTAGAGATAGTCGACTATAGGCGCCCAAGAATCGCGGTCTTTCTTTTTCGTGTCGGCAATAGAAGCTATAACGCTACAAATTGAATACTATTCTGTGGAGGATTCTTAGCAAAATCCACCAAAATGCGATTTACGGGCGAACGGGACGACGGAAATGGGTTCCGACAAAGGGAATGTGGTAGCCTTCGACTACATGTAACTGATGGTGGAGGCAAAACTGGCTAATGGAATATTGATCTGCCACACAAGAATGCGCTGAAGTCTCTTCGATCTCACACGAGGATTTTGATAATTTTCTTTATCCCTTATGTAAACAATAATATAATGACAATAATTAATGCATTTTAACGCACAATTCACAATCTCAAGATTAGGACTATAGGAATTTCATTATTTAAAATTCAACTATAAAATTTTGTAATTCTCTCTTCCCAGTTCGGCGTCGAGTTCAGCAGGATCAACAGAGTTTTCTTCGTGTAATTAAAGCTGCTGCTATTCTTATTTCACAACTAATTCACGGTATCGACATTGATTCTCTATACAAAAATCTCTGGCACTAAATATTCACGATAATCCCTTTATGATCCACAATCACCCTGATCATCAACAGGACGAGTAACCTAGCTTCTCGCGGTACCATTCTAACTACCATTTACGCAATACTATATCCATGTTGTATCATAAATTTCGCGTTAAGTACAAAGATCTTGCTTATTAGCATAGATAGAGTTGGGTAAATTGACAAAATGATCCTCGAGTTATGCCTAAATAAAATCAAAAGACCAAATTTACCGCCTCTCTAAAGTTTCCTAAATATGGCGAAAAACAACATAACTGAAGATTTTGATTTTCGTTAAAATAGTCATTTGGGGAAATATTTAAAAACCAAGCAGACTTTCTTTAGGGAACTTTTTCTGTTCTTTTAGATGATGGAAATGAATTTTAGTTATCGTTAATACTTTATTTTATATCGATATCAACTTGTTT